AGGTAGAGCCACCTGGTACCAGTGACCCTCCTGCCCCACGCGTGCTACGGCCAACGCTGGTCATCTCACAGTGGACAGAGTAAGGCTATCAGCACCGGGGGTTAGTGTCTTAGGGGCTTGCTATTCCTCCTTTGACCCTACTAATGTCACTCCAGGGTCCTGGGCTCTGTTGGGGGCCCCACACCCCTTGTGTCCTGGGACCGACCCAGTGTTGGGGGAGATGAAGTTCCTGGAACACCTGCTCCTCTCCTGACCCGATTAGCCCAGGTAAGCTCTGCTCTTGATCTCTAACCTCAACACTGATTTTGTTTCTCTCCTACTTTCCCTGCCTTCATTCCAGTTCTTATTTGTCCCCCAGCACATGAAGTGGCCATCTGTCTCCTCTCTGGACTCTGCCTTGGAAAACACTCCCTCCCTGCACAGTCCAGCTGACCCCAGCCACCTCTCCCCCCCAGCCTCCTCCCCTCGGCCTTCCCGAGGTCACAGACGCTCTGCCTCCTGTGGCACTCCCCTCAGTGGAGGAGAAGGGACTTCTAAAGGGACTGGATATGGGGGAGGAGTGCCTGGACCAGGGACTTCTGATTGCCGGATCATCCGAGTCCAGATGGAACTGGGGGAAGATGGCAGTGTCTACAAGAGCATCTTGGTAAAGGAGCGTCCACTTGAGTTACAGGGTGAAACAATATGTTGTATTGGACATGTAACATGTTATTCTATTTTTGAGCAGCCTAATGGGAGGATGATTCTTGTTTTGATCCTGACCTTTGACTCTGGAAACTATGTTTTATTTTGATAGGGTTTTTTTTGCACCTTCAACTTTTGGTGACCATATTAGACTTAGAGAACCCTAAAACAGTTTCCCCACAGGAAAGCAGCCCTGTTCAGCTGGGTACTGGGCAGGCTGGTTAGTGGAGCACATGAGCCACCCTATTGGATGGCCTTTTCCCTTTTAAATAATTAGAGGGAGCACTTTTTAGTTGGGAGCCAGTGGTTGGGGTTGGAAGATTGGGGAATGGAGGTCTTCATGGAGTTATTTATTGTTCTTTTGGTCTCTGGTGCTGCTAGGTCACCAGCCAAGACAAGGCTCCAAGTGTGATCAGTCGTGTCCTTAAGAAAAACAATCGAGATTCTGCAGTGGCTTCAGAGTATGAGCTTGTGCAGCTGCTACCAGGGGAGAGAGGTCAGAGGCCACGGGGAAGGGCAGGCTTGAGAGGAAAATGGTACCTATCAATGGGAGTACGTCCACATCAGGGAAGCTGTGGGGATACAATTGTGTTTATGTTTAAAACCCACCCTCTGAACTTACAGAGCTGACCATCCCACCCTCGGCTAACGTCTTCTATGCTATGGATGGAGTGTCACATGATTTCCTCCTACGACAGCGGCGAAGACCCTCTGCTGCCACAGTGGGACTTGCCAGTGGCCCTTCTGCCTCAGGAACTCCCCCGAGTGAGGGGGGCGGGGGTTCCTTTCCCAGGATCAAGGCTACAGGGAGAAAGATTGCCCGGGCATTGTTTTGAAAAGGAAGCCCTATTGGTTTACAAAAGTCATGGTGGCCATACCAGATGTAGGTAACCTCCTGAACGATGGCCGTCATGTTGCATTTGGTCAGAAATCCTGAAGTGTGGGCAGCCACTCTGGAGCAGTGAAGTACCACTGATTTACCAGATAGCTGTGAGGTAGAACCCTATGGAATCTGGTAATGCTGGTAACCAAGTTGGTTATCTGTATACAGACAGCCCTTATCTTCCATGAATGTAGCATAAAGCTAGTGGTGGAAAAGGGTCAGTCTTGAATCCCCAACCACATTCTAGCATGCAAAGGGCCAAAGAAAGGCCTAGAAATAGTAGGAGAAGGCCCAGAGGCTCTGCATCCCAAGAAGAGTGTTTGGCAAAGAGTTTCTAGCAGGTTTTTTTCTCACTCTGAGGATTCTTGTCACTGTGACACTAAGATAATAAACCAAAACACTACCTGAGTTGTTCTCTGTCTATGTGATGTCAATGAACTGACTACTGGGAGTGGGGCGCATGGTACTCACTTCAGCAGCATGTATGCTAAAACAGAATGCTACAGAGAAGATTAGCATGGTCCTTGTACAAGAATAACAGGCAAATTTGCAAAGCATTCCATGTTAAAAAAAAAGTAGTAGCAATAGAACAGCAAGAAGTCTGATGTTTTCTATCCCTGTAAAGGGAAGCATTAGTAAAAATGGTTTCCCCAGAGCAGTCTCTTTTCCACTTTAGCAACCAAGAGATTAGCCCTTTATTTATTTTTAAAATTTCCTCTGTTTTCACAGAAGAGACTATAAATTATTATGTTAGGATTTCAAATTAGTTTAAACAAATAAATTCTAAAAAACTAAAAGGGATGAGAGGGCTATTGAAAAGATGGCAAGTATTCATATCAAGAGTGGAACTGGACAATGACAAAGGAAGAGAGAAGAACTGACACCTCTGAGTTGTGGTGTCAGAGAAGAGTCTTGAACTTACCACAGACCGCCAACAAAACAAGTCTGTCTTTGAGAGGGTGCAACCAAGATTCTCCTTGGGAGGCTAGGATTCTGAAGCTGTCTCACACACTTTGGCCACATGGCCAAGAGGAACCGGTCCTTGGAGGACATCTTGCTTGTAAGGGTGGAGGGACAGAGCAGAAGGGGAAGACCCCAGATAAGACGGACTGATACAGTTACTGGGGTAATTGGGTTAGGTGTGTTGGAATCAGTGAGACTGGCTCAGAATAGGGCAGGCTTCGGAGGTGTTGTACATAGGGTCGCTATGAGTTGAAGTAACTCAACGGTGCCTAACAACAAAACCCACATTTTATCCTGGGGTCTTTGGTTATAGAATGGATTCTTCTATCAAATGGATATTCCTAAAAATATGTTCCACTGTAATTGTCCTTCCATGTTTCTTTTGCTGATTATGCAAAAATATGGGAATGTTAAAGGCTGTATATGCAAATAAGAAAGACATCTGAGACATTTCAGATTTTGGTTTCAAGAAAGAAGATTGCCCTACCAAGAGCACATCCAAGAATAGGGGCTCAAGGAATACCACATTTAGCATACATGTAAATAACACACAAAGCATTTAAAGGAAACTAGTGCAATGAGAGGGGTGGGGTTTACCTGTATAAATTGTAGTGGTCTTCCCTACATTTTTCATATGAAGTTGGTTTTCTAGGGATGCTATTTGGATTTAGAGGAGAAAGAAACAACAAAAAATAACTTGTAACCTCAAATTAAGCAAAATAAATGAGACCAATTAAAAAAAATTGTAGTGGTGTAAAAGTATAAGGGGTGGGAAAAATAGGTGGAGAATCCTGACTGGTCAGAAAACAGTCAATATGTTCACATTTTATTAACTACAGTATATACCCCAGAGCTGCCTCATTCCCTTCCCTCCCCCACCTTCTTCCCACCCCGAGGTCAGGCCTTGCCAGGAGCCCCTGCCTTTGCTGCCTGGGCCCTCTGGAACTCCTGCTGCAGTTGAGCAAGGGTCTCCCTCTGCCGCTCTGACTGCCGCTCTAGGTCCTGTAGCTGGGATTCGTATCGCTTACTAAGGTAAGAGACATACAGAAAAGAACAATGAGTTGGACTTACTGTTACTGGCAACCGAAGTTAAGAAAGTTAAGATGTAGGGGAGGGAGGAAGGAGATTTGATAGGAAAGGAGGAAACAGAAGACTGGACAACTGGCCAGTCTGCTGAGTTGCTCTGCAATGGTTCCTCCAAACTGTCTACTCCAACCGTGCCAGATGCATCACAGGGTTGTGGGTAGGACTCACATTTCAGCTGTAATATAGTCCAGCCTCTTCCCCACTGTGGCTCGAGCCTCTCCCAGCTCCTGTTTGACCAGCACAGGACCCAAAAGTTTAAAGACCACGTTGGACCCGTCCAAAAGGGCCAGTTCCTGAAGGGGTGGGATACATAATCAGAACCATCACCAGTGCCAAGTCCTCCTCACCTTACAGATCCCGGTCCCTCACCTCCTTTACGATGTTATTTTCTGTCAGTTGTGCCTCAAGCTTCTGTCGCCCTGACATGGACTTACTTAAATCTGGGGGGGGAGGGAAAGACAGTATTAGAGACATCAATGTGCCACCTGTACCCACACTCCTCGCCAGAAGAGCACAGAGCTGAGAAAGTAGACAAAAACGAGTCTCATCAGGGGGTCGGGGTAGAAGGGAGAGCAGTATTGAGGCGGGGATGTTGCTGCACACGGGCACAGGTGGGGCAGATAATCTTGTCTTGATTACTGATTTGAGTTGAGAGTGAAAAGATCAGGGTGGGACCACACTGACCCTGTTTCCATACCCTTTTGCAGCTGTTGATACTTTTCCACTTCCCCTTGTAGTTTTTTCTGGATCAGCTCAGCCATGGTGGGGACGAAAATCTGCGAGGAGCGGGAGTCGATGTGAAACTCTGGAAGGTCCCGAGTTTCCCTGTGGGTCCGGCCGGCGAGCACAGCACTCTTGCGAGGCTGCCGCTCAGGGCACCGCAGCCTGGCTCGGCCCGGGGTAAGGGTTCTATCCCAGTCCTCCAAAGGAAGGGCAAAACGAGAAGCCGAGCCCCTCAACCGAAAGCCTACCTACTCACGCTGCCCCTTCAGGATTACTAACCCCGGCAGTAAACAAGGAATGCTGGGAAAGGTAGGCGCCGGAAGCAGCCGTCTGACTTGCCGGGATATGTAGTTCTCGCTTTTTGCTACAAAGACTGGACTGATAAGGTTGTAGGCAAGATGAGAAACTAAAATGAAAAAGACTCCACCGTTACTTGGTGCCTGCGCTTAACTTTCTTCCACCTACAAAGGCATTATATTCTCGGGATGGTGAAGCCCCGCCCCTCAAGGGAGAGCGCGCCCTCACTCAAGATGGAGCCTAGGAGGCGTCAGTCCTGGTATGGCGCTGATTGGGCGAGGATAAGAGAACTTCCGGGAGTTTCCACACAGATCGTGGGACGGAGGAGAGGAGTTTGCACGTGTATTGTAAACCAGTGGGCTTGATGGAGGCTGTCCCCAAGCCGGGTGGGAATGTCCTGCCCAAGAAGAACAAACTACAGACCAAGAGAAAGGTATCAGCCTCTCTGAAGCGGGAAGGGCGTGAAAGGACGGAGTCTTGGGAGCGGGGGTTGTGGGTCATGGACAGCAAAACATTTCAGTTTCCTAATGTGCTGATAGAAACCTCGGCGATACTGGGAGGAAGGAGAGACCCCGCCAACTGTTGCCGGATCCTCACCAGAGCCGCCTTGTAGAAAGAAGAAAAAACAAGAACTTCGTCCCCAGAGACAAAAGAACACTCACATCAGGAAGTCTCAGATTTCGAAGAAGCCCCAGATCCCCAAGAAGCCTCGAGAACGGAGAAATCCGGAGCCGCAGCGGACTCTGTCTGGGGTGAGAGTGGAGTCCGATGAGGGTGGAGCGTGGCTCCTTGTGTTTTGATGGTGAGAGGATTGGAGGCAGCCCGAGCTTGTTCTCTAATCCTCTCCTCCAGGCCCAGGACCCATTCCCAGGTCCCGCCCCCGTCCCGGTGAAGGCAGCTCAGAAGTTCCGGCGCATTGACAAATCGAGAAGGGTGAGGACCAGCGGGAAAGTGGGGAGAGATGGGGCTCCGAGAGAGGCTGAGCCAAATTCTTCTCTTTGCCACCCACATCATCTCTGGTTCTTCCCCCTATTTTCTTCTTGGCTAACAATATTATAGCTTCCACGTTCTAAATCCAAAATCCGAAGTCGACTTGAAGCGGCTGAAGCCCAGGAAAAGGAAACCTGTGTCAGAGCTGCTCGTTCAGAGCTACTCCTAACAGAGGAACCTGGGTGAGTAGATTCGACTCTAAGCCTCCCTAGCCCTTTCATTACAGGGCTCTCCTTTCTGATTTTCATATCCGTTTGTTGGTTAACTCGGTTGCAATCCTAATCCTCTTTTGCAGGTTTTTGGAAGGAGAAGATGGGGAGGACACAGCAAAGATACGTCAAGCAGACATTGTGGAGGCTGTGGATATTGCCAGTGCAGCAAAAGTGAGTCTGAGGGTGGGGAATTGGCTACTGGATCTGTTGGTGATACAAGAAAAGAAGGAGTTTCTGGAGAGAGATGATTCTCTTGTCATTCTTTATTTTGGCTCCTTTCTTTCCAGCACTTTGACTTGAACCTGCGTCAGTTTGGACCCTACAGGTTGAATTATTCTCGTACTGGGAGGTAAAGTTGATTTCTAGTCATATACTTACTTAGTCACTTGATAAGCAGCATCTTCCCTCTCAGGTGGAAAGGTAGGGCTGGCTTGAGGTGGACCTTGGAAGACTTAAATCAGCATGTTCCACTGCACTGATACCCTATTTGTCTTTAATCTCCAATAGACATCTGGCTCTAGGAGGGCATCGGGGTCATGTGGCTGCCCTTGACTGGGTGACAAAGAAGTTGATGTGCGAGATCAACGTTATGGAGGCAGTGAGGGACATTCGGTCAGTGGCCTTCCAATCAGCAGTTGGTGGAGTTAAGATGGTCCATCCTTGATGAAATGGCAGCGTATGACCCCTTTTCCGTTGAATGCCCCAGGTTTCTTCACTCAGAGGCACTGCTTGCTGTTGCTCAGAACCGTTGGCTTCACATCTATGACAATCAAGGCATCGAACTCCACTGTGTCCGTCCCTGTGACCGTGTCACTCGGCTTGAGTTCCTGCCCTTCCACTTTCTTCTGGCTACAGCTGTAAGTGTCTGTGGGACATAGCGGCTGTATGACAGTCCTTGGGGAGGCAACTCATCCTTTGGAACTCCTGTGTAGAGAGGATAATTAGAACTCAGTTATTTTCATTCTTTCTCTCAGTCAGAGACAGGGTTCCTGACCTACTTAGATGTGTCAGTGGGGAAGATTGTGACAGCTTTGAATGCTCGTGCTGGACGCCTTGATGTCATGACTCAAAACCCTTACAACGCTGTTATACATCTTGGACACAGCAATGGTCAGTACCTGGCTTAGTTGTGACTGTGAACATCCACACTGCTTTTCTTCTATATTTATACTTCATGAGGCCCTACAAAGTATACTTTTGAGGGAGCTCTGGTAGCCTAGTAGCAAGAAGCTGTGCTGTAATCCCAAAGGTGCATGGTTTGAATCTACCAGATGCTCCACTGGAGGAGGGGCAATCTCTTCTGTGCCAGTTGGATCCAGTTTGATGGTACACAATAAGAAAAAAATATATACAGTTTTACCTCATCTCACTTTCTTTTTAAGTATCTCAATATCCTATCTATAACTTTAGCTCTTTTCTTGTGACTTGCAGGCACTGTGTCTTTATGGAGTCCAGCTGTGAAAGAGCCACTGGCTAAGATTCTCTGTCACCGTGGTGGGGTCCGGGCTGTGGCAGTAGACTGTACAGGCACGTAAGTGAAATGAATCAGTCAATTTGGCGCTGAGGGTAACAACCAGGCAGAAAGGTGTGGCAGTTAATAATGCCTTTAGAAGAAAAAAAAAGAAAATACTGCCTTTAGGAACACATACTTTAGCCTAACTAGGCTTAAATTCTGTTGTTACCACTTATCAGCTATGTTACTGTGTGTGTATTATATAGACCCTTTGTGCTTCAGTTTCCTCACCCCTAGAGTGGTAATCTGAAAGTTTAACTCAAAAGTCTACACACACAGAGGTCAGAAAATTTTTTTTGTAAAGAACCAGATAATAAATATTTTGCAGCCTATAGATGAAATCAGAGATACTATTTCAAATACTTAATAAGAGAGAAAACAGATGATTACAAATTTTTTTTGGTGACACAACTCAAAATGTAACACTAGTGTTATGTAACAAGTTTCCTTAGGGAGCGAGTTGTGAGGCTAACCTAAAGATGGCTAGTTTAAATTCACCAGCACCTTCAAGAGAGAAAGATGGGCAATCTCATCTCACGTGATTTACAGCCTCTGAAAGCCCACTGAGGATCAACTGTGAATAAGCTCCAACTCAACAGCATTGAGTTTGAGTTTCTTTTTTTTTTTTTAATAGGGAAAAAACATATTGGGGGTACAAGGAGGTGAGGGTTGGGGGCAGAAGGATGAGGATGGGCAGGGATGCAGTAGCAGAGCTGCAGAAATTGGTTGGTAGGGAGTTTGAGTTTCTTAAGGAAAAAGTAATGATACTAGTTTAAAGATTATTGTTGTTATGTGCCATCGAGTCGAGTATAACTCACAGTGTCCTATGAACAAAAGATGTGAACCCTGTTCTATTCTGCACCATCGTCACATTTCCTGACACACAAGAGTCCATTGCAGCAGTCACTATATCAGTTCACCTGGTTGAGGGTCTTCCTCTCCTTTGCCAACCCTTCCCTCTTCCCAGCATCATGTCCTTCTCTGAGGAATAGCACCACCTAGCCACATGCCCAAGTATGTGAGGCAAAGCTTCATCATTCTTGCCTCCAAAGAGCACTCTGGCTGCACCCTCTCTAAGACATAGTCATTGGTTCTCCTGGCACTTTTTCAACATTACAACTCAAAGACTTCAATTATTCTTCTGTCATCTCACTGTCCAGCTCTCAGATGCATAGCAGATGATCGGAAAGACTGTGGCCTGAACCAGATGCACCTTAGTCCTCAAAATGACATCATTTCTAGTCAATAATTTGTGCTTTATCGAAGCAATGATATTTTCAATAACATTTGAAAGTTTAGCAATGAAAAAGGAAGATAGCTTTTGAAAAGTCGGGCAATGAATAAGGAAGGCTAAAGAAGAATTGATTTTTTTTAAAATTTATTATTAATTTCAATGAAAATTTACAGAGACTTTGGATTTCCATTCATTCATTGTTGCATTTTTCTTCCCTCCCAACCCTACCCCCCCCCCCCCACCAGTACACTACTCTCTTGGAAAAGTAAAAGAAAAATTCTTTCATTGTTTTACAGTCCCTCCCCCCCAGGTCTACACTGCAGCCTTTGCTCTGGCCTCCCGTCATGACAAAAATATCTAATCACATATCCCTTTTAAACAGTTTTCTCCCTCATCTGTTTCAATGCAGTATACATTATTGAACCATCTTTCTCAGTCTTCCCCCAACACCGAGGTCAGTCCTGTTTTACAACAGTGGCACCATGCAGTATTTGTCCTTTTGTGGCTGAGATAATTCACTCAGCATAATGTCCTCCAGGGTCACCCATTTTATTTTTTCTATGACTATTTTTTTTTTAGGGTCACCCATTTTGAATAATATTGCATGAGCTCCTTGTTTTTCAGTGCAGCATAGTATTCCATTGTGTGAATATACCACAGCTTCTCTATCCATTCGTTTGTTGATGGGCACTTAGGTTGTCTCCGACTCCTTGCTATTGTGAACAAAGCTGCGATAAATGTGTGTGCATATATCTGCTTGGATGTCAGTTATGGTCTCTTTGAGGAGAATTGATGCATTTTGAATTGTGCTGTTGGTAAAGAGTAGTGACTATTCTTTGGATTACCAAAAGACCAAACAAGTCTGTCATGGAGCAAGTACAAGCAGGGTGCTTCTTAGAGGCAATAATGGGGAAACTTCATGTCATGTACTTCAGGCATGTTATCAGGAAGGACCAGTCCTTGGGAAGAAGCATCATTCTGGGAAAGGTGGAAGGTCAGAAAATAGAGGAAAACCTTCAACAAGATGGGTTGACTCAGTGACTGTAAAAATGGGCTGGTACATGAGAGATGGTGAGGAGGGTGCAGGATAGGGTCCAGCTCAGATGTGCTGTTCAGAGGGTCCCTGAGAGTCAAAGTTCACTTGATGGCACCTGACAACAACAAGGAGAGTTCTCTGTTGAGTCTGACTGTGATGAGGTGATGTGTGACTTTTGGATTTCTACTGTTCCTTATTTGCATGTTTTCCAGTTCTATTTGATTTGTATGTCTATCGCATGAGTATTGTTTCTTCACACAAGATGCAATGTGGTTTGATACAGGCCATGGTCTTTGCAATCACTTGCTATGCATCAGAGAGTTGGACAATGACCAAGGAGGATAGAAGGAGAATTGATGCCTTTGAGCTGGGGTGCTGGAGAAGAGTATT